AATGGGGGAAATCCAACTGGGAATGGGGGAAATCCAACCGGGAATGGGGGAAATCCAACTGGAAATGGGGGAAATCCAACTGGAAATGGGGGAAATCCAATCAGGAAGGGGGGAAATCCAACCGGGAATGGGGGAAATCCAACTGGAAATGGGGAAAATCCAATTGGGAATGGGGAAAATCCAACCGGAAATGGGAAAAAAACAACCAGAAATTGGGGAAATCCAACTGGAAATGGGGAAAATCCAACCGGGAATGGGGAAAATCCAACTGGGAATGGGGGAAATCCAACTGGGAATGGGGAAAATCCAACTGGGAATGGGGAAAATTCACCCAGAAAGGGGGAAATCCAACTGGAAATGGGGAAAATTCACACGGAAATGGGGAAAATCCGCACGGAAATGGGGGGAATCCAGCCGGGAATGGGAAAAATTCAACTGGAAATGGGGAAAAGCTGCCCAAAATTGGATAAAATCCCTCCAAAAGTGGACAAAATGCCCCCATTCCCAGCTGGATTTGGGAATTCCCACCCAGATTTAGGATTCCCCTGGTTCTAGAATTCCCGGGAATTCCACTCTCACCTCGTGTGATGCCCCTTCGTGCTGGTGCCACGACCACCTCCCACCTCCCAACCACTCCCAGCCCACGGGATTTGGGGATTCCCACCCGGATTTCAGGATTCCCACCCGGATTTCAGGATTCCCACCTGGATTTCAGGATTCCCACCCGGATTTCAGGATTCCCACCCGGATTTCAGGATTCCCCTGGCTCCAGAATTCCCGGGAATTCCACTGGCTCACCTTGAGGGAGGTTCCCTTGTAGCTGGGCCACCTCTCACCCTGTTCCCACCTCCCAATCACTCCCAGACCTGGCTCTGGGGATTCCCAGCTGGATTTCAGGATTCCCCTGGCTCCAGAATTCCCAGGAATTCCGCTGTCTCACCTTGTGTGACGCCCCCTTGTGCTGTGCCACCCGTTTGGTGCCCCGGCAGCACCGGGTGTCCACCTCCCACCTGCCAGCCCTGCTCCCACTTCCCAATCATTCCCAGCCCCTTGGATTCAGGATTCTCAGCCAGATTTAGGATTCCCATGGATTCCAGATTCCCGGGAATGCTTCTCTCACCTTGTGTGATGCCCCCTTGTGCTGTGCCACCCGTTTGGTGCCCCGGCAGCACTGGGTGGCCGAGAGCTCGGCCACTCGGACCTGCCCGTCCCGGGCACACATGGCCAGCGTGGAGTCCCCGCTGTTGGGCAGGAATTTCGCCTGGAAAACAGGGAAAAACGGGAAAGGGGAGGGCGGGGGAGGGGGTTAGTGAAGGCACAGGGAATGGGGGATATGGAGGGAATGGGGGAATGGGGGAATGGGGGAATGGGGGAATGGGGGAATGTGGGAATGGGGGAAGGGGTTCCCCCCATCCCCGACGGAGCAGAAGGGGAGGGAGGGTGAGAAGGGTCGGGGGGGATTTCTGGGAATTGACTCTGGAATTATCTTGGGAATGATGGTGAGATGTCCTGGGAATCATCCTGGCTCTCCTGGGAATTGTCCCGGGAGTTATCCCACCCCAAGATCTCCTGGGAATCCTCCCAAGCACTCCCAGAAATCATCCCAAATCCTCCTGGGAATTGTCCTGGCTCTCTCCCAGGAATTATCCTAAATTCTCCCAGGAATTGTCCTGGGAACTATCCCAAGATCTCCTGGGAATCGTCCCAAGCACTCCCAGGAATCATCCTAAGCTCTCTTGGGAATTATCCTAAATTCTCCCAGGATAATTCCTGGGAGTTATGTTGAGATCTCCTGGGAATCATCCCAGCTCTGCCAGGAATTGTCCTGGGAGTTATCCCAAGATCTCCTGGGAATCATCCTAAATTCTCCTGGGAATTGTCCTGGGAATCATCCCAAGCACTCCCAGGAATCATCCTAAATTCTCCAGGAATCTCCTAAATTCTCTCTCCCGGGAACCAACCCGAGCTCTCCCAGGAATGATCCCAGCTTCTCCCAGGAATCATCCCAAACTCTCCCAGGAACCATCCCAGTTCCCCTGGGAATGACCCCAGGAATCATCCCAAACTCTCCCAGGAATCATCCTCAGCTCTCCTGGGCATAATTCCAAACTCTCCCCCAGGAATCATTCCAGCTCTCCCGGGAATCATCCTGGGAATTATCCCAGGAATCACCCTGACCTCTCCTGGGAATCATCCTGGGAATTATCCCAGGAATCACCCTGACCTCTCCTGGGAATCATCCTGGGAATTATCCCAGGAATCACCCTGACCTCTCCTGGGAATCATTCCGAGCTCTCCCCTTGGAATCATCCCAAACTCTCCAGGGAATCATCCCAGCAATTATCCCAGTCTCTCCTGGACATCATTCCCATCTCTCCTAGAATTCCCCTCTACCCCAAACAGGGACCCTCAGGATGTTGGATTCCAGGGCACATCCGTGGGATTTGAGGATCGGATTGACTCTGGAATTATCTTGGGAATGATGGCGAGATGTCCCAGGAATCGTCCCGGCTCTCCCGGGAATTATCCTGGGAGTCATCCCATCAGCAAATCTCCTGGGAATCATCCCAAGCATTCCCAGGAATCATCCTAAATTCTCTCAGGAATTGTCCTGGGAATTATCCCAAGATCTCCCAGGAATTGTCCTAAATTCTCCTGGGAATCATCCTGGGAGTCATCCCATCCCAAAATCTCCTGGGAATCGTCCCAAGCTCTCCCAGGAATTATCCTAAATTCTCCCAGGATAATTCC